GACACAAGTCCTTTTTTTGAGAAGGCTGGACAGTTTTCCTTCATAGAATCACTACAGTGCACAAGCAGGCCATTCAGCCCACTGAGTTCACACTGACTCTCCAAAGAGCAGCCTACCCAGGTTCACCCCTTTACCTTATCTCTGTAACCCTGCATTTCCCATGGCTAATCTGCAGAGCCTGCACATCCCTGTACACAATGACACAATTTAGTATGGCCAATCACCTAACCTGCACATCTTTGGAATGTGGGTGGAAAACAGAGGAAACCTGCACAGACAGTTGCCCAAGGGTGGAATCAAACCCGGGTCCCTGGCATCATGAGGCAACAGTGCTAACCACTGAGCCACTTTGCTACCCCAGGGAGAAGAAAGCTAAGAGGAGATTTGATAGAGATTTGCGAAATCAGGAGCAGACTGGATAGAATAGATAGGGAGAAACTGTTCCTGCTTATTAGAAGAACAAGAACAACAAGGGACAGATTTAAAGTGATTGCAAAAGAAGCAAAGGTGATGTGAAAAAAAAAGCTTAGCTTATGGAATGCACTGCCTGGAAATGTGGTGGAGTCAGTGAGCATTCAAGTAGGCGTCGGATTTGACAGTCCCTTCTTCAGAAGAAGGGGTCTAGGCCCGAAACGTGAGCTTTCCTTCTCCTCTGATGCTGCTTGGCCTGCTGTGTTCATCCAGCTCTACACCTTGTTATCTCAGATTGTCCAGCATCTGCAGTTCCTACTATCTTGAAAGATCTGATTGACATCAAGTGGCTGAGAGGTGAGTCATCTCATAGAACCTTGTCGTCACCAGCAGTGTAAAATTAAGTGTTATTGTGACAACAAAATACTATGGAAGATGTTGATGCAATCTGATAGGGCTACACCCAGCTCCAAAGAATTTCCTTTGCAAAGCATCCTTTTGCAAACCTATGATATAGGAAGTAAGTTAGTAAATTCAATATGTGAAATGTTAAAATCACAGATAGATGGAGAACTAGCTCTTGACTCACAGAAGAGAAAACTGCAGCCTCTTATTTAGCAGTAGATGAACTTTGATAGACCACAATGAATTGTCTTTTAAGCTGGTCATTCAACTGAGAAATGGCAATACATGGATCCAACAATAAGAATATCAAATCCCAACCTTGCCTTGTGAAAATCCACCCACTTAAGACCGATTTACGGGTAAAGTATCTAATGTAAATCATTCATACATGTTTTATTTTTCAAAGTGTACTTTCATTACTGCTTATAATGCACACATCACTGCTGCTAAAATGTCACATCATCTTTGTTCCATTGCCTCATTTCATGCCTTCAAATGTGATAGAGAATGAAGTGAACAATGCTGAACTTCGTTGTAATTAAGTCAGCAGTCACTTGACCTGCTGATTATTCTCTGAATTTTATGCCCAGTCAGTCTGATGCCCGTCAGGATGGGCAGCCCTCACTCAGGGCTCACGGATTCAGATCGCTAGCTCAAATTTCATGGCAAGCTAAGTGTCTTGAGTCAGCAGTGATGAATTACAAATAGCTGACTCTGAGATTTGTTCCTCCGAATTAGGCTCTTCTGAAATAGCTAGAAATGTAAAGGAATGGATTTGTCCTTTCAACTGTCTGCTACTGCTATGAATCAATTGTGGCAGCTGGAGCTTAGGGGAAACCATGAGGGAAAGATCAGCACATCATGGAGTTTGCATTCAGACCCCAAAGCTTCCAAGTCCCAAGTTTACACCTTGTAACTGAGTAGGATTTGAATCGCATTTTGTCAGGCATTCATAAGTCATCATTTGAACTCAGGCCAAAAGTAATTTTCCTTGTGTAACTGTCTCAGGATGTGGACAACCTGCCCACTGGCATTAACTAATTATCCCCTGGAAAGGTGATGGTGGGCTTTCATTTGGGAACCACTGCAGTGTGCCTGGTGATACACTCAATGGGAACAGGTACAGAATTTCAGGATACTTCCCCCGATGAATGAGTGGGAGATATATATCGAGTCTGTTTGGTACGGGACTTGGATAAGGCATGACAGAGCAGAAATCCAAATTAGCAAAGTGAACATGTTGTTGTAAAGATGTACTTGTGCTGCCTTGGCGTGTATCCTGCTTCTGTATATGATTTAGGCATAACTAGATTAGTGTCTACATAAGGCAGGGCTCCCAAACTGAGGGTCAAGACCCCAGAAGTGGTCACAAGCTCAGATTTTGTCAGGTAACTAAAGCAGTAACGGCTGCTCTGACCATGTTTTGGCAGCCATGCTCCCACTGTAACAGGCTCTCCCACCTTGCCATCACAGGCCTTTCCTATCGCCACTCTCACAGATCCCAACCCCACCCCCTGACTGATGGGTCGCGATAAGTTTCCAGCCTCAAAATGGGGTCACAGTGGGAAACCTTTGGGAAACACTCATCAGAATGTATTTAGATCAGAATTTCTAACCTTTGATCTTGTCCTATTCAAGTAACAACTGATGTAATTTTAAATGCAGCTTAGAATACTAATTAAAATATAAATACAAATTGGATGAAACCACAGAAAGATAGCAAAATACCAAAGTTTGTAATTTACGTTCAGCACCGACACTTACATTTCCATAAAAGTGATCCCGGATCAAACATTCTTTAAGATCTCTTATTTCATGGAATGAAGCTATCAGTGGTAAGACCAGCCTCATAGTGCATTCCTAACTGCCCTTAAACTGAATGGAGTCCCAGACCTTTTCAGATTCAACCATATTACTGTAAGTTTGGAGTCACGTGCTGATCAGACTTGGTAAGGATGGCAGATTCCTCCAGTAAAGGACATTAGTTAACCACAATCATTACTGAGATTGGCTATCAATTCCAGATTTTACCAATTGACTTGGAATTTGACCAGCCACATTGGTGGGATTGAGGCCAATCTCATCAAAGCAATAGCACTAGATCTCTGGAATACTTGACCAGAGATATTACCATGACACCTCCATCTCCCCTGGGCAAGATAAAGGTTTCAAAAATAATTTAGGTGTGCATTTTTCAAACATTGTTTCCAGTCTAAAGTTTTCGAGAAGATTTGTAACTTGGGTTGTGGATGACGTTGTAGCCACGTTCGCCGAGCTGGTGGGTTTAGTTGCAAACGTTTTGTCACCATGCTAGATAACATCATCAGTGCGCCTACAGTGAAGCATCGGTGTTCTGTCCCGTTTGTTATTTATATGCCTCGGTTTGCTGGGGTGATTGGTGTTACTTCCGGTTCTCTTTCTCAGTGGTTTGTACACAGGGTCTAATTCAATGTGTTTGTTGTTGGAATACCAGGCCTCCAGGAATTCCCTGGCGTGTCTCTGTTTGGCTTGTGCGATTTTGGATGTGTTGTCCCAGTTGAATTTGTGTCCCTCGTTGTCTGTGTGTAGTGAGGCAACCTAGAATTCATCGTGTCTCTTGGCGGCTAGTTGGTGTTCATTCGATTTCCTAACTGTTGTGTTGGGTCTATCGCCATCTGTTGGTAATGAACACCAATGATGCCCAGGGTGACGAAACATTTGCAATCAAACCCACCGGCTTGGCCAACATGTCTACAACCTCATTGTTTCCAGTCAGACTGGTCTCCATGTGGGAAGCCCGTAATCGGAAAATTCACCCTTAACCTGCCCATGACATAACTGAAATTCCTAAAACACCTGCATGGAAAAGGGTTAAAAGTAAATAAGCACCCTTATTAAAGGCTAGAAAATACACTTTAATGGAATAGCCTAACTGATGGGGAGAAGTTATACAGGGGAATGAGGAAATGGCAGAGACGCTGAAAACACATTTTGTGCCAGCCTTCATATAGGAAGACACAACTTATTCATCAGAAATGGACAGGGTAACCTAGGGCTAGGAAAAGTGAGAAAATTAATGTAACTAATATCAGCAGAAAAAAAGTACTGGATAAATTCAAAGGATTAATACCTGACAAATGAAGGCATACATCCTAAAGTTTAAAAGAGATAGTTGCAGAAATAGTGGATGGATTGACTATAACTTTCCAAAAGTTTCCTCAGTTCTGAAATGGTCCCAGAAGATTGGAAATTACCATGTGATACTGTTATTAAATTAAAGGAAGATGAGAGAAAACAGGCATGACAAGCCAGTTAGCCTGACATCAGTCCTTGGGAATATGGTGGAACTTATTGCTGACAAAGCCTTAACAATCAACTTAATGGAGCAAAGTATGATTAGAACAAGTTGACATGACTTTACTGAAGAAGAATCAAGTTTGACAAACCAGTGGATGTGGCAAACATTGATTTTCAAAAGGCATTCAATAAGTGACACATAAAATAATCATACACAAGACAAGTTCCAGCACGGACTTTTGGGTGATAAATTATCATTAGTTGGTGAACATACAGCATGAGAGAGAGAATCTAACATTGGATTCAATGGTGTTACCATCAATGAATACGTGACTTTCAACTTCCTGAGGATTACCTTGACGAGAAAGTGAACTGGACCTTCCATATAAATACTGTGTTTACTACAGCAGTTCAGAGGCTAGGAATTCTGCAGCAAGTAACGCATCTCCTGACTCCTCAATGCCTGTCTACCATGTACAAGACACAAGTTCTGGATTGTCATGGAATACTCCCCACATGCCTGGCTGAGTGTGGCTCCAACAACACTCAAGAAGCTTGACACCATCCAAGACAAAGCAGCCTGCTTGATTAGAACACCACACATCACCATCAATATTCTTAGCCTTCACCACAAATGCACAATGGCAGCAGTGTGTACCATCTGCAAGATGTGGAAAAATAATTCGCCAAGAGTCTTTCAAATCAAAGATTTCTACCATCTAGAACGACAAGGGTAGCAGAAGCATGGGAACACCACCAACTGCAAGTCACATGCCATCCTGACCAGGAAATACACTGGATGTTTTTTCAGTGTCACTGGGCCAAAACCCTGTGAACTTCCTTTGTGGGGTGTCTTTACAGCAATTTGGTGCAGCATTTCAAGAAGGCCTTCATTGAACACTCCCTACCTTGCTTCAAATACATGGCAACGCAGCTTTCGTGTTGAGCTCTCTCCGCAGATCTCGATCTGAAGGTGGATCTCCCCTTGGACCTCCTCATCTGGGTCAATTTCACTCAGGCACATCCAGCTGTCTACACCTAGACAAAGATACAAATGCAGGACTCAAAGAAACTGGAGTAAGGCCATTCAGTCCCTCAATCAGATCATGGGTGACTTGTACGTCATTCCATTTGTGATTCACATTCATAACGATCATGGTCAAATTGGCAATAGACTATTACACTTGGTCCTGTTCTAATAGATGTCATGAGGACTCCATAATCTGCACATCAATACTGTTGCCATTTAAATTTAAGATCAGATTTCATAATGTTACTTTTAATTTCATGTAAAACATGATGTAACCAGATTATATAATTCACACAGCACCAACTTTAGACTTTGGGCTGCATTTTCATCTCCCAGTGGAAGCATAAATCATGTCGTGGAACATTGAACTTAGTTTTGTTTTATTGCTGCTGTTACATTATTCAGGACAATAGGGGATGCAAAATCCCCATGCACCTTTTCCAAGCTCAGGGTCCCCACAGTGAGGGTGATAGGAAAAACTTATTTCCTCCTGCACACAATTTCCTTGTGCTGGTGTGGGTTTTGAAAGCGCTAAAAGAGAAAAAAAATGCATATCGCCTTGGAGACTTCATGACAATCAGGTTCAGTTTGCTGAGAGTTCAGAATATTCTGACCGGGCAAGTGCAAAATGCATTATCACCTTCAAACGTCATTATTAGTTGCTATGTTGTAATGTAAACGTATTTGACATGCAGTGATTCATCAAAGGAATCTGTCTTGAGAAGGGAAGTTGACTCTGACATTGCCCACCATTGTGTAAGTTTGTTATGCATTATAGTACTTTTTCTGTTGAAGAAAGTACCTTAATGCATTAAAATGTAAAACAAAATGTCTTGCCTGGATTTGCAGTTATTACATTAACTGAGGGCTAACTGTTAAAATAGTAGTTTTGAAGTTGCAATAAAATATCTCTGCACCTGCTTCTGTTTTTGTTTTAAATTTCCAGTATCTGCAGTATTTTCCTTTTATTTGGGTACAATTACATTGCTCAGTACAGTTCATTTAGCACCAAGTAATAGAAAGGAGATAGAGGAACATATCTGCAGGGAAATTACAGAGATGCCAACATGGTGGAGTGGCTACAATGGGGGACTTTGATTACATTAATTTAATTGAAAGAGAACAGTTTGAGAGTAGAGCAGCAGCACAGGGTGAGTATAAAACTAACTGAGCTCAGGGATCGTGGCATAGACTGCAGGGAGCAGTCAGACAGTGGAGCAGCAGCACAGGGTGAGTATAAAACTAACTGAGCTCGGGGATTGTGGCATAGTCTGCAGGGAGCAGTTGGAGAGCGGAGCAGGAGCATAGAGTGAGTATAAAACTAACTGAGCTCTGGGCACAACTGTAGCTGTGAAGAAAAAACTGGAGTGACATCACAGGGAGGCTGTGACCTGATTAGCTGGTAGGAAATCTGAACTAAATTTGAAATAGAACACAGCCAAGATGTATTAATAACTTGATTAACTCATTAATAAATTTATATAAATTAATAAAGTAATTAATTAAGCAGCGATGGCTGTATGATGTAGGAGCTGGTAGTTGCCATTGCGAGCTGCAGTGACCACATCTGCAGCAAGTGTTGGTTGTTCGAGGAACTTTGGCTCAGAGTTGATGAGCTGGAATCTGAGCTTCAAACACTGCGGCACATCCGGGAGGGGGAGAAGTACCTGGACGATTTGTTTCAGGAGGCAGTCACACCTGGTAGATTAAGTACTTCAAATTTGGTCAGTGGCCAGGGACAGCAGGGGGTGACTGTAAGCAAGGCAGGTAGAGGGATCCTGCATTCAGGAATGGAGGAGCCTCAGCTCTTGACCTTGTCCAACAGGTACGAGATGCTTGCTCCGCGTGAGGACAAGGAAACGGGTTGCAGGGAGGATGAGCCAACTGACCACTGCACTGTGGCACGGGAGGCCGTTCAAGAGTAGGGAGCAAAATGACAAGTGGTAGTTGTAGGGGATTCTATAATCAAGGGAATAGATAGTATCCTTTGTAAGCAGGATCGAGAGTCCCCCATGATGTGTTGCCTGCCCGGTGCTAGGGTAAGGGATATCTCTGACCGGCTTGAAAGGATATTGGTGAAGGAGGGCGAGGAGCTGTTGTGGTCCACATTGGGACAAACAACATAGGCAAGACTAGGAAGGAGGACCTGTTTGGGGATTATTAAGCACCAGGAACAAAATTAAGGAACAGGTGCCCAAGGGTTATAATCTCCAGATTACTACCCAAGCCACATGCAAATTGGCAGAGGGATAATACAATTAGGGAAGGAAATACATGGCTAAAGGAGTAGTGTGGGAGAAAGGGGTTCCACTTCATGGGGTATTGGCATCAGTTTTAGAACAGGAGAGATCTGTACCATTGGGACGTCTCCACCTGAACTAATCTGGAACCAGTGTTCTAGCGAAAAGGATAGATAGGGTGGTCACTAGGACTTTAAGCTAGTGAACTGGGGGAAAACAACAGGAATCATAATGATAGATAGAAAAGAAAGCAGCAGGTTAACATGTGTGCAGAAGGGTTTAACTGTATCGAAGACTATGAAAGAAGTTAAAAGGAAAGAAGACCCAGGAGATATTATCAATGGAGCTGTTAGAATTCAAAATGAAGGTATGAAAACTAGTGTAAAGGCACTTTAACTGAATGCTCATAGATGAGTTAATGGCACAAATCATTGCAAATGAGTATGATTTAGTAACCATTATGGAGACATGGCTGCAAGACGGTCATGACTGGGAACTGAATATCCAAGGGTATCAGACTATTCGGAAGGACAGACACGGGACAAAGCTCTGATAAATAAGGATGACATCAAGGCAGTAGTGAGAGATGATACAGGTTCTGCGAAAAATAGCTCTGAATCCATTTGGGTGGAAATGAGAAATTCTAAGGAGAAAATGTCACTGATAGGCGTAGTCTATAGGCCACCAAATAATAACATCCCATTGGAATGGGCAATTATCGTGGGGGATTTTAATCTACATGTTGATTGGTCAAACCAGGTCAGTCAAGGCAGCCTTGAGGAGGAGTTCGTTGAATGTTTCCATGACAGCTTTCTCGAACAGTGTGTAATGGAACCAACAAGGGAGCAAGCTATCCTAGATCTGGTCCTGTGTAATGAGACAGGAATAATTAATGATCTCATAGTTAGGGATCCTCTTGGAAGGAGCGATCACAGGATGGTTGAATTTAGAATACAGATGGAAAGTGAGAAGGTAAAATCCATTACCAGGGTCCTGTGCTTAAACAAAGGAATCTACAATAGGATGAGGGAGGAGTTGGCAAAAGTAGACTGGATGCAAACATTTTATGGTGGGACAGTGCATAGGATGGGCTGAAGGGGTAAAAGTTAATGATGATATTGGACAGCTGCATGAGATAATAGATTGTACAGGATGGGCTGAAAGGTTAAAATTATTGATGATACTCGACAAGTTGCATGACTTGGTATGAGTCCTGTGACTATTCCTTTATGGGCCGAAAGCAACACCTGCACTTGTTTTCCCATCCAGTGTTTTCTATACTGGCCAACAGTTTTATTTTTCTGTATCTGCTTTCTCTGTGCTGGCTGTTTGTTACAATGTATAAGAGACAGAGTTTTGTTCCAAGGTGTGGGACTTTGCCTTGGCTCGGAATCGTGAATGGTGGCAGGAACGAATCTAAGCCTCTAGACCAGCCATTAATCGAGGCGCCCCCAACGGGCAGAAGGGCGTGAGACTTGTTGCTTTTTCTCTTTTCTCTTCCAGTTATTACTACCACTATAATCATTTATTATTATCACTATACTCATTTATTATTACTTAATAAATATTCAGATTTAAGCAAATTGCTATTGTCGAGCCTTCTCTTAATTATATTTATCCAAATCTGAAAATAACCACTTGGATACGGGCTGTGATCCAAGACAGGTAGTTGAGGAACAGTGGAGGGCTTTCAAAGCAATTTTTCAAAGTGCCCAGCAAAAGTATACACCAGTGAAAATTAAGGACTGTAGGAAAAGGGGTAATCAGCCAGGGATGTCTAAGGAAATAAGGGAGGCTATCAAATTGGAAAATAAGGCACACAAAGCGGCAAAAACCAGTGAGAAACTAGAAGATTGGGAAACTTTAAAGGTCAACAGAAAGCCACAAAAATGCTATAAAGAAAAGTAAGATAGATTTGAGAGTAAAAGACAGATAGCAACAGTTTCTACAAATAAATAAAACGGAAAAGAGTGGCTAAGGTAAACATTGGTTCTTTAGAGGATGAGAAGGGGGATTTAATAACAGGAAATGATGAAATAGCTGAGGCATTGAACAGGTATTTTTTGTCAGTCTTCACAGTGGAGGACACAAATAACTTGCCAGTAATTGATGACAAACAGACTAAGGTAGGTGAGGACCTAGACACTATCATTATCATGAAAGAGGCAGTGTTCGGCAAGCTAATGGAGCTAAAGGTAGACAAGTTTCCTGGCCCTGATGGAATACATCCCAGGGTACTAAAAGAGATAGCAGGAGAAATAGCAAATGTGCTCGTAATTTTCCAAAATTCGCTGGGCACTGGGGCAGTTTCAGCAGATTAGAAAACAGCAAATGTGACGCCATTGTTCAAAAAAGGAGGTAGACAAAAGATAGGGAATTATAGGCCAGTTAGCTTAACTTCTGTAATGGGGAAAATGCTCGAATCTATTATCAAGGAAGAAACAGCAAGACATCTAGACAGAAATTGTCCCATTGAGTAGATGCAGCATGGGTTCATGAAAGGCACGTTATATTTGACTAATTTGCTGGAATTCTATGAAGGCATTACGAGTGTGGTGGACAACGGGGACCCCAGTAGATGTAGTGTATCTGGATTTCCAAAAGGCATTCAATAAGGTGCCGTACAAAAGGCTGCTGCATAAGATAAAGGTGCACAGCATTGCATTAACTCTATATTAGCGTGGATGAGGATTGTTTAACTAACAGAAAACAAAGAGTGGGGATAAATGAGTGCCTTTCTGGTTGGTGGACAGTGACTAGTAATGTGC